CACTCTAGTCCCTTCGGAGCTTTTAGGATTGGGGGTTGGGGCGCCACGTCTCCGCCCACCTCAGGGCAAGGTTAGCGGGAGGGATCATTTTTCCAAACTTCACATGCCCTGCTCACAAAGTTTATGATAAAATAAAAACTCTTCCTGTATATGTATAACTGATTGACTTCGTTCTAAAGTAGAAACTAACACACCATTGTCAAGCAATTATACTCCAATAAGAACGTTAAAACAAAACAAAAAACAAAAAAACCCACATCTTCCTACTGAGAATCACGACCCACGTATAATGGTATTGCTGGGAGTGTGAATGATTCAGAGACAGGAAAGGCTGCATACACTGGGCTTCAAGGGACATTGGTGGCATGCAGAAATCGGGAGTGTTCCATGATAAGAAAAATTCAGAAGGGACATTATGTTGTCTTATTGATTCAGTGAAAGAGCATGGTAGTGTTTGATAGGATTATTCGGGACTCTTTTTTTCTTAAATACAAATTCAAAGTCTTCAGTTGTCTCTCCTTCATTGTCATTGAGAGATAGCGCAGTAATGATTGAGTTAAGGTTGAATATCACAGAGGCGAAAGGAATAATTCTGAGGACTTTTAGTCTATTAACTATATGAGGCTTCTTAATAGTTTGGCTTAAGGCAAAAATGATTTTATTCTAGTTTCATCCTCGCTGAGTCAATAATTAACGGAGTTTGATTAAAACTGGATTTTACTAAGTGTAGAAACCATCTGGGCCTCTTTCCTTCCGTATGAAAAATGGTGAGTTCTTGTCTCTGATCAGTTCCAGGCATCCAGCCTTGGGGTGAGACTCTGGGCCCCGGCTTCATCGTAATGGCCTTGCTTGGGGGAGGCAACAAGATGTTCCTTTCCACCTGGCCTTGCTCCTGCAGGGGGGGCAGCACGGACACTGCACCGTCTCTCTGACTGGCCCATGGGGAACCCCTGGCTGTCTACCAGCCCCTTCTATTTTTATTTCTCTTGGCCCCTGTTCCACATCTCTGCTTTTCACCGTGGTTAACCCTCCTAGAGGACCAGGTGAGACTCGTGGGGATTTCCTGTCCGTCGGCCGCTGGCAGAGACTCAAGTCACTCAGCAGCTGTCTTTGGGTCCACGTGCTGGGTTATGGAAGGGCTCCCTGCATTGCCGCTCAGAGCTTCTCCCCACCTCCTCTTAGACCATTGCTCGTACTGTGTAGTCACTGCTTGCTCTCTTCACCGTCTTCCCCACCAGGCCTGGCCTCTTCACGAATGAGGACTGGGTTTTATTTGTTTATCTCTAGCACCCGTATCCGGCACAGGATTTGACAGCAGCCAGGGTAAACTATATCCATGGAATGGACTCGGGAAAAGAATAAGGTCAAGGCGATGTAGGTGCCACTTTCTCTGGATGTTGAGAGCTTGGATTTCATGCCACGGGGCTGGGCTCTGCCCTCACGTTTCACGTTTCCAGGCTATCAACAGCCATTCCTGCTTTTGGCTGCCTAGGATTCAGTGGTACCAAATCCTTACCGTTTTGAGGCCTCACTGCTTTGAGTCTTTTAAGAAGGAGGTAAGAGAGGCAGATGGGGAGGAAGTGGGTTGAAAGTTTGATTTAGCGCAAGAAGAAAGAAAAGCAAAAAAAAACACAGCGAAACAGAAGAGCAGGCAAGAATGGTTTGTAGGTGCCCATTGAGGGTTTTGGTGTGTGGTGCCCTTGCAGTTTTCCAGTGGAGGGTTTTGCCAGCCTGGGTGAGCTGCTGTTTACAGTCAGTGCGGTACTAATTGTGTGTGTGAGTATGTGTGCGGCGGGGAGAAGATGGGCCTTTAAAAAAAACGTATGGATTGCTTGGCATTTACTGAGGGTGTTACATCTCCATCCCGGTTGCCAAGATTAAATTGAATCATCCCCGTGGCCGTTCAGTTTCACTGTGCACAAAACATAGCCACCACTCTTGTACTTCTTTCTCCCTCTCTCCTCTCCTTCTTTGATTCCTTACTTTCTCCATCTGTCTTTTTTTTTTTTTTTAAACATACCACACGTTTCTCACTGAGTGGGTACCATTTACCACGTCGAGTAAAACCCCGGCGAGATGTTCCGGGCACGTGCTGCCAGAGCGCCTGGCCGAGACACCTGAGCATGTGTGTGATGGGGGTGGGTGGATGCCTCATGACCATTTACAAAACGGGGAGCTCGTTCTGGGGGTCCTCCTGTTTATTTCCCAGCCGCCTTCCAGCTGGACTGGCTCTTTTGGGAACACGTGGATGTTGGTGCTGGAAGCTCCAGTCATGTCATTTAATTCCAGAGCTTTTTTTTTTTTTTTTTTTCCCTATCATGAATTATTCAGGCAATGTTTTCCAGAATTGTCATCAATAAGTACAGACCCAGAGAGAACGTGTATAACCACGCCTGCGCCGGGCCTGCGAGGAGTCAGTATTTTCTGGCTCAAAGAAGTTGCCAAAGGGAGGATTCAGAGCCAGTGTGCTTCCCTCTCTGGGCAGTGAGTGATGCAGGTACCACACTCAGGTTCGCTGATGTTTGGCTTGGATTAAAACCCAGCAAGGGAAATACACGCAGCCCTGCTGGCGTGGAGCGGGGGGCGGGGAGGCTTTTATCCTCAAACGTTCAGCAGTGAAGAATGGCGGGCAGGACAGAGGGTCGGCCAGGAGCCAGCAGTTGAAGTTCTTAGTCCATATCCACAGAAGTCTGAACTTGGCACATAAGCGCCCTCCCCCTCTGCAGGGATTTTTTTTTTTTTTTTTTTTTTGTATAATGAAACTATTCTTGGAAGAGTGCCTGCCTATTGTGAAAAATCAGACAGGTCAGTTCGGGTATCTGTGTTTGTGTAAACATTTCTGGCATTATTGGCAAAAACCGTCGGACAGGAGGGCCCAGGATGACCACGGCCTGCCTGCTGCAGCCATGCACAGTGTTTTTGATACGAACTTGGGAGATGGGAAGAAATCAGAAGTAGAGGCTTCATGCAAAATGGAATGGGCCGCCCATTTCTCTCAGCTTCCCTTCTCACTGTACTCCAGCTTTTTAGCTGGCTGTCTCCCAAACGGTGGTCCTTAGCTTGGGCTGTGCGCTAGGATCGCCTGGGAAATTCGTGAAAAATAGTGATGCTCCAGGCTAATTGAATCCAGATCTCTCGTGGGGGAGGATGATGGCTTTTATTGGACGGGCGTGCAGGGTGGCAGTGAGGGCTCAAAACCCCAGAGCGCTCCATCCTTAGATTTCAGGATCTGGAGAGAGAGATAATGTCCTCCTGGAGTTTTAGGTGGAAGGTTTCTGGGGGCGTGGAGCTGGGTCAGATCCCCTTTGAAGAAATGAGATGGGGCTTTCAGCTCGACCCAGGGTTGTAGTGTGCTTCCCTGGAGGCTGTTACCCTTTCCTTGTTTTCCTTCTCCCTGGGTCACTTTTAGGTCCATTGGAACTGTACAGGGTCTGCCTGTCCTCAGCCCTCCGATATCCTTTAAAAAAAAAAAAAAAAAGCCTTTATTCACACGTAAGGCACCAACTGCACAAGCCATTCATTTAAAGTGTACAGTTCAGTGTGTATGTTCACAGAATGGTGCGTCCATCACCACCATCCATTTCAGAACATCTTTATTAGCCCAGGAAGATCCACACTCCTTAGCCATCACCCCAGCCGCCCCTTCTCCCAGCCCTAGGCAGCCACTCATCTGCTTCCCGTCTCAGTGGATTTGCCACTGACATTTCCTGTAAATGGAGTTATGTAATCCGTAGTCTGTTGTGTGTGGCTTCTTTGACTTGGCATAATGTTTTCAAGGCTCATCTGTGTTGTAGCGTCTATCACTCCTTCGTTTCTTTTTAAGACTGCATAATACTCCATTGTGCGGATATACCACAGTTCACGGATCCATTCATCAGTTGAACATTCGCATGGTTTCCACTTTCTGGCTCTTATGAATAATGCTGCTATGAACATCCATGTACAGGTTTTAGCGTGGATTATATTTTCATTGCAACATCCTTCTATGGCATGTCTTGGCAGTATCACCTCAGCCGTCAGGGAAGTGTCTCGAAATGCTTTGCATCAGAAACAAGTCATTAGCGAAGTGGGCAGCTCCGGACCAGGGGCCAGGGTACCTGGGGGCCTCTAACTCTGCACCTGCTGTGTGACCTGGAACTGTGAATGGCTCAGCTTCTCGGCAGAAGAAGGAAAACAGTCCCACTTACTCCTCTCCCCACCATAAACCCCCATCTTCCTCCCCCCCACCAACTCCCACTTCCAGAGATAGCAGACGAACTGCTTTCTGAGAAAGGAAGGTGCCGTGTTCCTTGATTCCTACAAGACGTCAGTATCGTGTGTGTGATTCATGTGTCCGCGTCTCACATGTTCCCACTGAACGTACTTGCGCCTTCTCACAGCCCCGTCTTTCGTGTGTTGCTGACTGTTTTGAGATTGATGAGGCCTAACTCACAAGCAATGTCTGTCTGGATTAAGGGAACCTGAGAATCACGATTTATATCTGACCCGAGGAAATTCCCCGTAAGCTGCTTATAGGAGGTGCATGCTGAGAGCATGATGGGAAGATGGAGCCTTCTGGCCCGTGGTAGAATCTGGAATCTGCTCTCCTTCTGTTTCAGCTGTGGTAACAGGAAGCTGACAGACCCATCGTCCTACCTGTGAGTATCTGCTGACAGTTCCACTCTTGTAGATTCAGTTTAAAAACTACGTAAGCTGCAATTCTGATTTTCGCCCCCATACTCTAAGTCTTTAGTATGGATTAAAATATAATCCCTTATTGTAAAAAAAAATACATAAAACATAAACACTTTGATCAAGGTGGTTTGAACTACATATGCCTCTAATTTAACTAACAGTAAAGTGACTATTTTCCACTTAAAACACCATCAACGTGCCATGCTTTTTTGCATTTGCATTTTTAAAACTAAAACTTTCCACATCATTAAAAATTAAATTTCTCTTGCAAATATTCACAGTGTGCAGAAACACTAACAAAGGTTTATGCATTATCTCACCACCAGGGGGCATTGTGGTTTGACCGTTCATTTAAACAGCCTGCATTCGATCAGTTTACCCAGAAAAGAGGAGGCCTGGGTGTATTTCTGATTCCTCCCAAGAAGGACTCATATCTGGAAGAGAACAGATGTTGATTCTTTCTCCTCACTAGCAAACGGTTAGTGTTGTCAAATTTGCTAAACTTAGCAGTTGAAGATTAACATGCAGTGTATAATATGCATGTGCCTAACTGTACAATAAATAGTAAATCACATTTTTATGCTTTCTCTGAACTTGGAAGCTGCAAGGTTTTTTTTTTTTTTATTCCCTGTGTGTGATGAAATAAATAACATTGAAATACATTTTAAAGATGTCAGTCAGGGGGGAAAAAGTGCTTGGCAACTGTGTTTGATAGATTTCTTTTATGATTAATTCTCCTATTAAGTTTTAATGACTTTAAAGATATGAAGCTAGAAACCACAAAACTAGGCATGGTTAATAAATAACTGAAATACCAGGTGTATAGAAATGCATCTATGGAAAAATGAACTCATATATTCTCTAGGATGTATCAGGAAACAGATCTTTGGCAAATGAAGAGAGTCAAATGTCCCCGAAGGGGGGGAAAAGTTGAAGAACAGTGAATTCAAGAAGATTGTCTTTCTTAAAGAAAATCCTTTGAGAAAGGTACTCTCTAAGATTCACAAATGTAAATAAATTATTTTCTGAACCAGTGTTTATCAGCAAGGCGGTTGTTCTCTCGGAATGCATTTATCCATTGTGGGTTTTTAAGCATCTCTGTACAAAATTGCAAGTATTTCTCAGAATTTCTTGTCACAGTTTTCTTCCCGAGCTCATCGGGCATGGAAAGGGCCGTGTTGCTTTGCTGTTTTAGAAATGCTCAGAGGACTGCCTGGGACCCCGAAGTGGGAAAGAGTGGTGACGGGGTTTTAGTAATACTATCTTTTTTAATTCCTTCTGCACCCAAAACTGATGACATATGACTCGGTTCTTCCTCAAAGCATCTCTGTGAATCGGGGAGGATAGAAGAATTAATTCTAGGTTCCAAACAGCAAAAGTGAGGCTTGTCAGGGGCTTGCAGGCTTGGCCCGGACTCTGAATTCTCCCTCTGAGCCACCCCACGTCGGAGAGTCTGCAGGTTCATGCCTGGGGCCCTCTGTGGTAGGCACAGCTGGATTATTTACTTTCTAGAACATCTCGAGTTCCTGAGCCGACCAGTTTAGAGACCAAACACACATTAATTAACATGAATAATGACTAGGAAGAATTGCAGGGCCCCCAGAAGAAGAATGTATAAATGTGCATGTTTTTGTATATGCTTATGCATGTGTGTTTGGGCCTGAAAGGAGACAAAGGGTGCATTTTGCACAATCCCTTCTCTCCACGCAGGGCTCTCCTTGAGCTTTTCTGAGTCCCCAAAGCACAATAGGTACCCTTTGGAACCTTCACACCTGGCAGCCCCCCATGCTTCAGAACTTCAAATCTAAAGATCTTTTAAATACACAGAACTTATTTTTGCAAGCTCTTGGCCCATTCCAACTGAATACCGATTCCCAGCCTCGAAAATGCCTGGAGTGAGAAAACAGGGAATATTGTTCTTTTCTGTTTATATTATTTCATACTGAGTCAACACACTTGCCAAGAGTCCGAGGCAGCTTCTGGCTTGACAATGCCTTATTTAACTAGCCTATTTCTAGAATAAAGTCAGGGTCCCCTGGGGCCCTCTCAGTGGCACTCAGGTCACTCATGAGCTGGAAGAGACCAAAACAAATAAAGCGAATCTGTTTCTCCAGGAAAATCATCTTACTTTTTTTCTGGGCTAGGCCACGGATTTGGCCCTGGAAGCCAGAGGGCCTCGGCCAACACCGGATACCCAGCTTGTCCGGGGTTTCAGAGCCCTGGAATCTCGGAGACCTGCCTCTCGGGGCTGCGGGGCTGCACCAAAAACTGAGCCTTTCTGCTTGCTCCCAACCTGGGCAGCTAGCTGCTGGGCAGCCTCTCTAGCCAGCGCCTCACTCCAGGCCTGGCCGTATCTCGGGCTCTCCTGGTACCCGGAGCACGTCGGCTTGAGGCTGGAAGAAACTCGAAGCATTTGGCCAGGAAGAGGCAGCTAGTTCCAGCTGGCCCGAGCGCTGCGCTTTAAAAATTACCCAGATGAACTGATTTTGTATCGGGAGTGGGTGGAGAGGACTCCAGGGCTGGGGAGGAAGATGCGGGCCTCTCTCCCCCTAATCATGAGCGATGTGATTTGGAGAGGGAAGCAGGGGCTTGGCTCGGCAAACTGCATTTCCTTGGCCGAGCTCCAGAGGGGAGAAAGGATCCAGAGGGAAGGCACAGGCAACGCTGTGTCCGGTTAGCCTCTCGCAGACCCCCCAGGCTCCCGGACCCTCTGCTGGGCGTCGGGTTGGTTGGTGCCCCAAAGAGGGTGGCTCTGCTGAGCAGGGTCTGCCGAGAGAGGGAGGCCTCGGGCTTCAGGACTGGGGGGAGTGGCTTCCGTGGACGTGAAAAAAACGACATCAGAGGCAGGAGGCATCCCTCCAAACATAACTCGGCCTCCCGCTCTCCCTGCAGACAGAAAGGCCGCGCTCTCTTGGCCCGGTGCCTGCACGCGTTCTTGGCACGCGCAGACTTTCTGTATCACTCCCGCCCCAGCAACGAATCTGGCCGGCGACTTGGCCACTCTCTGAAATGAAGAGTAGTACTCGGGCGCCCATAACATTTTATTTTAACGTAAGAGAAGATAAAAGGAAAGAGAGCCCGAGCCCTCTCCTTCTTGATTCCCTCCACCCCCAGAAAGTCTAGCCAAGAATCTGCAAAAATGCATCCACCCACCCACACGTTGACGGGCAGGTTTGAGACCCTGGTCACCTTTCCCACACCTGCCTGATGCCTGGATCCAGGGGTGCTGCACTGCCGGGTGGGAAGGGCGCTACGGGGTAGACCCCCTTTGGAGGTTCTGTGATGACTGTTTCTTACCCAGGGCCTGTTTTACGCTATGCCCCAGTTCCTTCAGGCCAGGTCCCTCCTCATCTGTGCCGTTGCCATAAATACGGGGGAAGCGAGATCTTTCTAGCAAGGGCAACATTATCTCGCCTAAAAGGATAGACCCTGAGACTGCTCTTACATTCAGCCAACAGAGAGCAGAGAAGGGAAAGAGTCAACCAGGAGTACAAAGAGTATGAACGATCTCTGTGTGTTGACTCCTTTTCGAAAGACAAGATGAACAGAAATACATGCATATAAATATTTCTTTCCGGCCAACCACCACAGATTAGATTTCACATTCGAAATGTAAATCGTGCCTAGGAAACACCGATGTTTATTTTAAGCAGCTGACCCTCAGGGATAAAAATAAAAAGGATAAGGGAAACAAACAAACCGCGTTACTGACAAGAGGTAGGATGTTCTGTTTTCTGTCTGGCAGCTATTTTCCAGCTCTGGCATTTCTAGGGAACGCTTTGGAATACTTCTGGTCCGGTTCATCCATGAAAAACCGTCTGTGTTTTTACGCTTTGAAAAGACATGCAGAGAAGCCCACAGCATGTCACATTGGGTGTCTTATCCTTGAGGAAACAGCAGGCAGCATCAGTGTCACCCATGGACCATCCCCGCCCCCAGCATCCTTTGAGAAATGTCTTGGGTCTGTCTCTAGCCAGGTCAGCCCTGAGCTTCTTGATCCGCGCGCTGGCCTGTTTGGGAACACATCTGAATTTCGGTATGTAGCAGGGGAAACGCCGTCTGGCTGTTCCATTCCGTGCCCATGCCGCTTCCTGTGTCACCCCTTAACAAGGTGTGGAGGAGCCTCGGGAGTCCCACCACCTTACGCTAAACGAGATGACACGGCCCTCTAACTGCAGGATGCAGCCGACTGCTCTGCGGAACAGGGTTGGCTCACCTTGCCTTGACATCAGGGCGTCCCTGTGTTTGCTAGACTCATGCCCACCCGGATTCTCGCTCCTTTATTTCTCAAATCAGTTTTTGCCTTGGAAGTAAGATTCAGAGCGTAAGAACGTGGCTTGTCTCTCACACGTTATGGAAGGCAGGCCGTGCCCTCCGTGTCAAATGAACGGAAGAAAAGCTGGTGGTCCCAGGGATGGAGGGAGAAATTGGAGCAGGGGTGCTGGACAGGAACCCATCTGCACAGGTGTCGCTGTGCCGTAACTGTGGCGGGTCTTCCTCCGCGGGGCCGTCTCCGTGCTGTGGTTCCCCGGGCGGAAGGGCGAATAATGCTGGTCCCTCCACCTCCTTTGTCTTTGTCAAACCTACCAACTCATTCCAGGAACACAGATATTTCATTATCTGCTACTGTTACATCTCGATCCTGGATCCCCAGGCTGTGTTCAAAACTACCGCCCTCTCAAGGAAGACAAGGGGATTGTGCCAGCAGGATCTCCTGTTAGTGTGTGTGTGTGTGCCCGTGCATGTGCACATCCGTGTGTACATGCTTGTGCACCGTTGGCGCTGTTTCCAGCGAGCAGTAAAGTCCTCCCCTCCTGTGGACCCGGGACCTGGCAGTGAGCTGGAGCTGGCAGAAATTTTGTGACCGAGTTGTTAAACACAGTCACTACGAAAACTTAAATTACATAAACTTACCTTTAAACAGGTTGTATTCAAAACGAAGTTATTAGAGCTCCTTGCCTCCTAGTCGTTTAACGACCTCTGCCTGTTTTTATCTGTGCTCCTGGGGTTGTCTGGGTCTGGATGGCAGAAATGCTCCAGCCCTGCGACCACTGACATGACCTTGCTAGCTTGAAGCAGCCCTTGCTGGGAGTATTTACACCACGGAAATGGGCAAAAACTACAGCAGGCCTTCGTTGATTGCTTTGTTTATATTGTCTCGGCTTAGGAAAGTCATTACAGTGTTAATAACGCAGATTAAATGTAAGCGTATCATGACTCTAGTCATTACCTTATGAATATTATAAAAAAGAGGAAATATTCCCTTAGCATAGGAAAGAAAAACTATGATCTACCTCAGCAAAGAAGCTGCTGGTGCCATTGAAGAATGGGTGACATTTCAAAATATGACTGTTTTGACTGTTTCACTTTCATCTTACTGGTTAAGTAAAAACATTCTTACTGGTGAACTTAAAAGCATCAGCCAGCACTCACCAACTGCTTCCTGCCAGTGGATGCAAGAATTAGGCAGAAAGCATTGAGAGCACTGGGTGAGAGTCAGCTGGCTCTGTGGAATTTATAATGAAGAATGTTGCATATTTTCACTCGTAAATTGTGTGCCAACATCTTTTATATCAGTAAATTTTATAATGGACCTGTGTAGAGTTGGCCCTCCATATCCAGGGATCCCGCGTCCCCACATTCAACCAACCTTGGATCATAAATATTCGGAAACAAAATTCCAGAGATACCCAAAAAGCAAAGTTTGAATTGGCCACATGCTGGCAACTACTTGTATAGCATTTGTGTTGCATTTACAGCTGTTTGTATACCATTTACATTGTATTAGGTATTACAGGTAATCTGGAGATTAAAGTATAGGAGAGGGTGTGCTTAGGTTATATGCAAATACGGTGCCATTTTATATAAGGAACATGAGTATCCTCGGATGTGGGTGTCCACGGGGCTCCTGCAGCCAATCCCAGGAGGATCCGAGGTACGGCTGTATATATATTTATAGGCATGCTTCCCTTCTTGGAGACCAGACACACTGGATTCAGTCAGCTGCTCGCTTGCGAAAACGTTGGAGGGTTCCTTGAGACGGCGTGTGCAGACGGGCCTGCTGCAGTGACTGGTGCAAAACCACAAGGACAGCCGTGGTCATAAATACCGTCTCCATCCCTGTCACCATCGGAGGGAGCAAGATGACAAGTGCCGGCACAGCGTGTCCAAGAGCAAACTCAGCCAGCGCGATGCGCTGCCCGGTGCACCTGGGTGAGACTGCGTGCCTGTGGTCCCTGGGTGTTCATTTTCCCAGGACAAAAATCTACTGTGGCTGGCAAATTTCACGTCTTCCCCTTTCTCTTCATATTCACGGCCCTTCCTACAGACTGTACAGAAATCAGGAAGAAGCAGGGGGCAGTTATCGTTCATGTAAAGGCGGCCCATCTCTCCCCAGCACACACCTGGTCTCCAGATACAATCAGGGACCATCCATTTCCGTCTCCTTACATCAAGCCTTTCAGCATGGTTTACAGGTACCCCTTCTGCCCAGAGGCCCTGACCTTTCAAGAAGGATTTGAAATCTTTTGAGAGCTCTGAAATGATGCGAACCTGAAAATATCCACCTGGAAACGAAAAGGGAACAAGGTGACACCTGGCCGTCCTGTGGAAAAGGATCCCGGGACCTCGCAGAGCTCTTAGACATTGCGGGAACGTCTAATTTGTAGGTCCCTTTCACTTCTGAGAGCCCGGCATCCTGTGTCCTAGGCCTGTTGCCTAAGACCGGCCCAGCCTTGTGGAACAAAACGGTTTCAGAGTGATTACAGTACCTCCTGGCTTCCATATCCGCCTGTATTTCTTGTTATTCTAGTTGAGTACTGCATTCAGACAGAGGTTGCCAATAAAGTTTATTGTAGGAGCCGTGTGTCAATATCTGTTGTACCCCTCGCCTGGGGTGCCTGTAATTAAAATGCCACAGATAGTCTGGGAGAGGCGTGAAAATTTGATGGCAAATTGATTTCAGGTTCATCTTGAAGTTTGTCCTCAGCTGGACTCGATAGGCCTGGCAGCCATGGGACGGCTTTTATCAGGAGGGTCTGCTAGAATGAGACAGAGCTGTCTCGATCTGAATATTAAATACAGCGCACTGTTTATGACAGATTATTCCTTTAGTGCTAAAGCACGCAGCTACTTCTCTTTACACAGTCTTCTCCATTGAATGTGTAAGATAGGATCGCACAGATCCATTTTACATATGAAAAGAAGTTGTATAAAACTCTGGGCATAAGAAATAAAGAGTTTTAGAAACGCTGGCTTCAGACACAGGATATTCTATCCAATATTCTAAACTTAGAAATGCTCCTTGGATCTAATTTAAGAAAGCTAGAAAAATAATGGTAATCAAGATAGTGTAATCAAGTATCACAGCCTTATATTGTTTCCTCAGAATAGTGCATTGCAGAAAAGGAAAAAAGCCACATAAGTGGAGGAAAGAATCCCAGTATTTAATATTATAAATTGCTGGTTCCTGTAAACTCCCATTTCTGCATCACATTATAAAAGCCATTATCCTTGTGCTATTGTTCCTGCAGAAATGCACTATCATGATGATACAATTTTAAAAGTGTATTTGTTTTTAGAATTTAATTTGAAAAGGGTTTGAGGGAAAATCATGTGGAGTTTTGAGTGTTTGTAATTTTAAAAATGTGTTCAGTTGAATTAAATGTGTTCAAGAAAACCCGCTTTATAATCTGAAACTGTTTCTTGGGCAATTAATTGTATTTACTTTAGAATTCGACATGTGATTAGAAGCAGTTGAAAAGAGGAATACTCAAATGGGGTGCCTTCCTTCATTCGTTTAGCTAATAAGAATTGAGTCCCTACTCTGTGCAAAGCAAAACTGGATGAGAAGAGATTTCTAGGTGGGATTTCAATGAGACCCATGGCCCAGGCTACCCTGTCACTATATATAAGTGGGGCCTGGATGAATTTTTCCAAAATGCTTGAACTAGTGATGCCAAAAGCTGCCCGACTGGCTTAAAAATAAATGAAGGGTACAGTCTCGTTCCTTTGAAATGGAATTTTAAAATGGAAACAGAAGCGATTCCCTTCACTTCCTGGAAGAATCTGGCTCTGCATCTCGCTCAGTGTTATTTCTCAGGCAGTCACAGGTACTAAGGCCCATCAGTGTAAAGAGCCCAGCATATGCTCATGGGTCGTCAGAGTCACTCCTTTGCACATTCAGGAGATATTTATGGGTCTTTTGTTAGGACAGTTTTTATGGCCCAAGATTAAAAGTTAAAAGTTAAATAGTAAAAGTAACGAAGATGTGCCTTTGGAGGATCCAACTGGTTTGTGTTTTCATTCCCTCCGCTTGTCAAGGCCCATTGAATTTTGATGATAGCATTAAAAAAAAAGAAAAAAGAAAAGGATGTCTCAGATCATTTTTGGAAGGAGACAGTGTATGAATTAACAAATTACTAAAATAACCTATACTCCAGAGATGCTAATTTATTATCTTCTCTGTAAGTAGGAGGCTTTTCTTTTTTGATGCAGAATTTCTTTGTGGCAGCTTTAACATTCTCAGGAAATACTGTGGGCAACATTCGATAAAAGATTGAATTATTTGATCAAAGAAAATAAATATCTAGATAGTGCATTCACAGCCCTGAGAGAAGTGATCCGTAGAAAACGATGCTCCTTGAAGGTTCGTCCGAGGGTTGGTTTCAGATTCTGAAGTACCGTATTGTAAGGTAGTTCCTGTTGGCAGGGAGCAAGTTCAGAACAAAGCTGCGCTGTATGATGGATGAATCAGAGATCTAGTGGAGGTGGAAATAGTAGCCTGGCCTTGGGTACGGATTGTCTATGAATTCCACTGATACTTATTGATGCACAGAGAGGGCAAATAAAGAAGGATTCTGTGATCAAAACTATTTCAGAAATGCAGTACACATCAGAGCCTTTTCTTTTTCCTCCAAAGATTGATTTATTTTTTATTTATTTATTTAATTTATTTTTGGCTGCATTGGGGCTTAGTTGCGAGACGCAGGATCTCCATTGAAGCACGCAAGATCTTTCATTGCGGCGTGTGGGCTCTTCGTTGTGATGTGCAGGCTTCTCTCTAGTTGTGGCCCGCAGGCTCCAGGGCGCATGGGCTCAGTAGTTGTGGCGTGCGGGCTTAGTTGCCCTGCAGCCTGTGGGATTTTAGTTCGCAGACCAGGGATTGAACCTGTGTCCCCTGAATTGGAAGGCAGATTCTTTACCACCGTCAGAGCCTTTGACATGCAAATTTCTCACACCTAAGAAAGGAAAAGAATAATAGTATTTTCCAAACTTACCTCATGACCACTTACCATCCTCCCCTCACATTTTATTTTATATTTTATGGGACAGTATTATATACAACACCCAAGGAAGAGATACTTAGTGTTTTCCAGTTTTATATTACCACTTAGCCCTTACTTTCCCCCTCTTTTATTATTTTGTGGGACCAGCCTTCTGTGGAACACCCTTTGGGAGACTGTCTTTACTCACAGGAGTCTGTTACAAGTCCTGATTCACTCAACACTGCAAAGGGTAATTATGTGACAAATTTTTCCCCATGTGATACTTTTTAAAACCCTGTTAATGGAATGACTCAAAATCATCCAACCCATAATAACACTAAAACATTTAGAAAGACTTTTCTCTGTTTACAGAGCCCTCAACTATCAGACAAAAAGTTAGAGTGACTTTCAGAAATACCAAGATCATCTATATTGTATTCTAATGGGAGCCGATTTTAATATCTTTACTAATGCACTTGCTATAACTCCCTCCTTTAGTAATTAGATAATTATGTATAATTAGCTTATCAGTTACTTGCAACAGCTGCAGTTGATGGTGTGTGTGTGTGTATGTGTACAACCGCCTGGCAGCAGCTTGTGAGTTCACTATTAGACCTGTGAAGTGTTTCTTCTTGGCTTGTTTTCACTATTTTTTTCTCACGTGTGGAGGGGAAGGGCAGTGCAGTGAACTACAAAAGGAGCAAAAATGAAATGATCCTAACCTCCTCTGGCCGCCCTGGTAAATTTAGAGGAGAGCGTCATCACTGCCCCTTGGGGCTCTCAGCGCTGATAACACCACCCTTGCCAGTTACCATGTTCCCTAGGTTACTGCCTGCCCCGGGGCCAGAGAGCAAGGGGTTTCTGATGCATTTGAAAAATGCACTTAATGTTGGCAAAAGACTTGTTATATATTATTAAGTGGAATGCGCAGTTTAAAAAACAATACAGAGTGGTTTCCTTGTTATATAAAAATATAAAATGGATTTACATAAATAATATTACTATAAGTTAGCTGCCAGCCTACCTTCCTTTTCCCAAGAAATATTGGTGAGATATCGATTCTGTGCCACTCCCTGTGCTGGTGCTGCAAATATATCATATAACAAGATGACCATTGTCTGTGTTTTGGAGATGGAAGGCATTTTGTTATTTTAAAAACTGTTTTTCTAGAGTTGACCACTTCTGGAATGGATTTGTCCCTTTTATCATCAGAAAAAAAAAAAGTTTAAGATGCTGTAAGTTCCTAACGAGGCTAAGGCTAGGCACGTAGTAGGGGCTCAATAAACACTTGTTGAGTTAAATGCAGTTATATTAGCCTTTGAAAGCAACGCTGAGATCAGACACTGGCTCTTTAAATTTATTTATTTTTTCGTGGTTTGTTTGCCCTTTTGCGATCATTCATTTACCGGGAGGTACTCAGGGGAGAGGTGGGTGACAGGCACATCCCCTGTGGACTTGTCCTCGGGAAGGCCACTGGTGGGACCACGCGGGCTCACGTCGCCATCACTGACCAGAGCAGGTGGTGGCCGGTGAGACACCGGCCTCCATCAGCTTGATCACATCCTGGTCTCTGCCCACCTCCCCCCTACAGCTCTCTCTGCACCTCCCTTCACACCTGCCGGGCTCCAAGGCCAGCAGGACTGCACACTCAGCACCGCGGCCGGTTTCTTCTGTAAAGGCGGCTTTGCAGAGGGCAAAGGGTCCTCTCCTAAACACGTCAGCACATTCACTGTAGGAAGAAACCAAACGTAGAAAAGAAGAAAACCCTCTAAGCTTGGCTTCCTGGCAAAGTAAAAAGGCTCGTGACGGTGACCCATCTTTGGCCAGCAGGAAGTGTTTGCACTGTTGGTTCTTTCAGTCTGTCTGTCTCTCTTTCGCTTTCATTCTCCTCTCTTCCTTCCCACTTCAGTCTCTTATTTTTCTCCCTCTGTCTCCTTCCTACCCCTCCCCCCTTAAAAATATTTTCCCACAAATTAGATGGTGGCATGTGCTCGCCACAGTCAGTGAAACCACGCCAGTGAATAACATGACACAAAGTCCACGACGTCCCCCTTTCCTTCTGGAGCCCCCTCCAGCCATACCAGCTCCCCAGGGACCACAGCTGACAGCCCACCGGGAGCCCTTCGCACTGTCTCCCAGCTCTTGTTTTCTGTGTGCTTTTACAAGAACGCTGCCCTTGGTACGCACGGTGTGCTGTCCCTTGCTGGCTTACCTCCGTGACCGATACACATCACGGACATCCCTCCAGGTCAGTAGATGGAAGAGCGAACTCATTTCTTCTGATAGCTGCATGATATTCCGTAGTGTGGATGTCCCATGATTTATGGCAGTTGGACTTGCATCCATTTTAAATTCTCATGTTCAGAGTTTCTGGACGTTTGGAAGCATTTTAGAAAATTGACATCATCTCTGTAAACGTACGAACGCGAATTCCCTCCGGAACGTCCAGCTATTTAGAATCCCCTGCCACGTGGCTTGTTTGCACACTCTTACTCCCCAAACATTTGCCTCCGTTTTGCACACGTGCCGTCTCCTCTTATTCCTCTGAGCCCTTCCTAAATGCCTGCAGAATATTTTTTTTTTTTTTTTTTGCATGGGCAAAAGTCCAGCTGAAAGAATACTTATTTAGCATAATTTAAACATGAGGGTTTTCTAATGCTACTTCCATTTAAATAATTCAGAGAGCTGTTGCAAGGTGTCTGAATACTGGGGGAAGAGAGCTGTTAATGGAAACATCATCGAGGCTGAAGACAACCTGTGTTATTCCGTCTGCAGCTGAGACGTCTAAGATAAAGATCAAGATTAACATTGTCATTATCGGGTGGTATGTTATCTGAGTTACCTGCTCCTTTCTGGAGGCACGGGTCTGATTCCTGCGAAATCATTTTTTCTCCTCTCTAGGAATGGAGAATTTGACGTGGTTTTAATTTGGACTGCGTTACTTGTTTGCCTTATATATTTTTAAAAGTTGTATGAAAAGCTCTCGCGTGGCGTTTCTTATTTATGAAATCAGGGCAGCCGTCCTTCAAATACGAAGCAGATATCTCAGAATATTAAAATCTTGGCCTGCATTAGTAGCAGCGTGAATGATTCTCCTGAAATCGACATATCAGGGAGCGTCTCATCTATTATTAAATTACCTTTTCCTCAAACAAAATATATATCAGATGTAACTTGATACCCAAATTCCTTCCCTTACTAAACTCGAAGCTGTGCACATGCACACACATCTTTATGCTTGGTTTTAACATTTTAAACATCCACAGAAAAGTAATAGAATGAGCAATAGAAAATCGTCAGGGTTGAAATTATTTCCAGCTATGTTTAAATATGAATGTCTTGTTCGACTCTTAGCATATGTATTTATGGCCGTGTGATATCATTATGGCATCGTAATGAATGTCTGCTGAATTATGGGGGATTCAGCAGGGGATACAAATGGATTTGAATTTTCTAACTGTCATGCTGTGGTCCGAGACGGGCGGAAACTGACATATCCCCCTGCATTAACACATCTGTCAAGCGTCCTCAGCCCTCTGTGCAAGTCTCATCTGTTGGGAGTGAGAGGTGGGGTGGCCGGAGAAAGCTCTGCGTCGGGACAGGTGTGAAATAAACATTATGGAGCTGCCTGCCTTGGCTTTGAGTTTGCATCAATCTGGACTAAGAATAAGGCTGTACAGACTTTTTTTTTTTCCTTTCTTATTCTGGACGCCTACCTTTAAATGAAGTGACTAGGATACCTTATTATTTAGTCTTTAGTTATGAGTGAACCTATGTGTAGAGCACAGAGGCGGAGTGAAAAGAGGCGGTCCTGAGTTTGGACTTGACACTCCCCTTACTAGCTGTGTGCCCTGGAGCCAGGTGACTAAACACTTTGAGCCTGAGTTTCCTCATGTTGCTTGCGAACAAATAATACTCTGTACTTCCCAGTATTCTTATAAGATTCACATGCAATAGGTACGTTAAGGGTCTAGCAGGTGCCTGTTAAATAATGGCTTAAAATGTGGCAGTGGGCGTGGCTGTTTCGTCTGTTTTTATTATTATCATGTATGTTCTCTTTATACAAAACACACCCAGTTCCCTCAGGAGTAGGGTTTTTTTTCCAGTTTTACACAATGGGAACTTACGTTTTTAGCATCAGCAACACATGTTTACCGAGCACCCCAATTTCATTTATTTAAGAGGTATTTATTGAGGCAGAGTGCTACACCCTGGGAAACAGTAGCCGGCCACACGTGACCAGTCCCCCTGCGGCCGCCCCAGCACAGAGGTTACCTTCCAGGGGAATGGATGCAAATCCCACCTGCTCAGGGAAGGAGATTCTGGTGAAAAGAGGAGCATGTCCCGCCTTCAGAGAGGTCTCTATCCCACCAGGATGCTGCCCACTTCCTGCGAGGGGCTTGGCTTCCAGGCGGGACTGGAGGAATGCTTTGCCCATGATTTCACTGTGCACAGAATGACATTTCATCCGCTGCCCAGGGGCAGCCACCTGTGCTGACTGGTGCCCACGGGCCCTGTGGTTCGTAGCTCTGCTGCCCCTCAGTGTAGGATAAGGTGGCTTGCGCCCTGTGGAGCGTCTGGCGAAACCTCCTTTAATCCCTGTTTTCTGTGCTAGATTTCGTAGCACTTACCAAAGTTGTTCAGTCTGATTTTTGCTTAACTTTTTTTTCCTAGTTTAATCTGATAAATTAGGTAGATTGTAGATACACATGTAGTCTTTGAAGCGGGGCTGCTTGGCTCTGTTGGTTAGCTGTGTGGTCCTTGTGCCTCAGTTATATACCTGTAGAATGGGGATCGTAATATCCCAGACCTCAGTGAGTTGTAAGGATGTAAATTTT